CTGTAGTAGAAACGGAACTTGGAGTCTCCTCAGGCCTGCTCTGCACCTTGGAGAAGTGGTGCTCAGATCCGCCCAGCCGCACGCTGCTTTCAGCTACAGGAGTTCATTCGAAGGTGGAAAAACTCAAGCCTCCCAGAGCGGTGCGCCAGAGGTGGCTTCCCACCCAAAGAGGTGGTTACGAACGAACGCTGAGTCAAGCCTCAGCCAGCGTCTGATGCTGCCCACGCCCAGGTATGGCTCCAGGGCACTATAAGGAGCACACACCTAGGAAACTGGAATGCACTCCCGCCATCAGCTTTGATCTGAACCCTGGGAGCGTGCTGGGCCAGGAGCCGGTCCCTCTGCTCCTCGATGCTGGGCTGACCCCATCCCGCTGTGGCCTCTTCCCGCTGTGGCCTCTTCCCGCTGTGGCCTCTATCCGCTGTGGCCTCTTCCCACTGTGGCCTCTTCCCGCTGTGGCCTCTTCTAATTTCAAAAGCATCCGAAGGCTCTTGGGTCTGCCTTGCCTTGGCAGGGCCCACAGGTCATTGTGGGCACAGCTCTGGTCACATCTTCCCATCAATGCCCCTGTGGGTTTGGCAGGGGGAGACCAAGTCAGGAGGAGGCTTGCATCAATCACAACAACAAAGAGATGAAGGAGAGTGTATTTGCGGATTAAACAAAAATCACAACTTATATAAGTTATATTGGTATTTCAAAATCAGAAGCTTATGCCTGGAGCCAGAGAAGGTTCGGAAGAACTACATCAACAGAAATGAATCAGTGTGTTTCTTTGAGTGAATTGTTTGTCAAGGCTATTGTGTTATTTGAATCCTATGAGATCATACGTTTTCTCTATTTTCTGAAGAATCTTCAAGTGGAACCTCAGGAGTCTCTGGCTCACCCAGAATCATGAGTCAGGCTCAGAATCCTGCCCAGAATCTCAAGCATGGTCTTGTGGGTGTCCTCGTGCCAAACGAGGAGAACAAAGAGGTGCCACTCCCCAATGCTTATCAGTCTAAGATCATCGGTCGAACCTTCATCATGCCGCGACCCTTTAATACAGTTCCTCATGTTATGACCCAACCATAAAATTATTTTCGTTGCTACTTTATAACTGTAATTTTGCTACTGTTATGAATCGTAATGTAAATATCTGATATGCAGGATGTATTTTCAGGGGTCGCGACCCACAGGTTGAGAACCGCTGATTTAGAACTTTTTAGCGGGGAGAAGTCAGTAAGCCAACCCTACAGGGTGGGATTGAAACGCAGGGTAATGAGAGGGGCTGGGGGCTCAGGACAGGCCTCTGTGAAGAGGGCAGCATTGGACCAAGAGATCTGATTAGCACGTAGGAGCCAGGCTTATAAAGATCTGGGGGCTCTTTCAGGTGGAGAGAACCATGAAGTGGAGTAGTTGGTCCTGCCAAAGGAGTTATTTAAGATGTGACTATCGATTAATTTGAAGAGGCCAATCATTCATTGACCAAAGATTTAAAGAGCACCCGCTATGTGCCAATAACTGTTGAGGGTGCTTGGATGCTGTTAGGCTGGTGGAGGGAGCGAGGGTATTGTGTAACAGTCCTGGTGTCCCACGCCCTGCTGCCCCGCTCTGATCCCTGGGTGAGCGGCTCCTCTTCCTCTTGGTGCTGGTCTGTCCGCTCCCTGCCGAGTGATGGAAAAGGCCTGCCCCAGGATTTGGCCTGCGGTTCTCCAGTGATAGACACATCTCCCTGAGTCTGGCGTTCAGAATTTGGAAGTTCATTTTCCAGCAAATAGAAGTCAGTCTCCATTATCAATGTTTAAAAATATATTTTTATTTTTAAAAATATATTTTTACTGATTTCAGAGAGGAAGGGAGATAGAAACATGAATGATGAGAAAGAATCATTAATTTGCTGCCTCCTGCATGCCCCCAACTGGGGATCGAGCCCGAAACAGGGCCATGTGGCCTGACCTGGAATTGAACTGTGACCTCCTGGTTCATAGGTCAATGCTCAACCACTGAGCCACAGTAGTCAGGCTTCTTTAAAAAAAAAAAAAAAAGTTTATTTATTGATTTTAGAGAGAGAAACATTGATTTCTTGTTCCACTTACTTATGCATTCATTGCTTGATTCTTGTAGGTGCCCTGACCAGGGACTGAATCTGCAAGCTTGGCTTGTCGGGACAACACTCTAACAACTAAGCTACCCAGCCAGGGCCCACTTCTTCTAATGTTACCATCTTACACAATCATGGTACAAAGAAATTAACACCAGTGCAGCTCTAGCCAGTTTGGCTGTGGATAGAGCATCAGCCTGCAGACCAAAGGGTCCCAGGTTCGGTTTTCGTCAAGGGCGTGTACCTTGGTTGCAGGCTTCTCCCGAGGCTAGCTCGTGCCGGAGGCAACCAACAGATGTGTTTCTCTCACATTGATGTTTTTCTCTCTGTCTTTCCGTTTCTCTTTCACTCTCCCTAAAAATCAATGGAAATATATCCTTGGGTGAGGATTAACAAAAAGAGAAAAGAAATGAAATGAAATGAACATTGGTGCAGTATTACTAACCAAACTATGAACTTTAATCAGATTTCGCCAGTGCTCTCACAAGCGACCCTTTTCTGTCCCAGATCCCACCCGGGACTGCGTTATTAGCCGTGTCTCCTGATCTCTTTCGCTCTGTGCCAGTTCATGATTTTCTCTCATCATTGATGCTTCTATCTCTCTCTCCCTCTCCCTTCCTCTCTGAAATCAATAAAAAAATCTATCTTAAAAAAATAAAGAATACAGAGAGAGCTCACATACCTTTGCTCAGTTTCTCATAATGCAGAACACCTGCTCCCGAAGGCCGCCAGCCCACTCCCCAGAAATCAACCTTGTGCCTGTTGGAGGCTTGTCCAGGGCACCCTCTCACCCTGCTTCCCTCCAGGCCTTTAGTCCAGCGTCCCAAGGTGCTTAACCTCCATTCTTTACACCTGCACACCCTCTAGTGGGGGTGCTTTGCCTACACAAAATGAGAACAAGGAGCCGGAGGGGCAGGCACCAGGTGTGTGCCTAAGTCAGCATCTAAATTCTTGGCCTCACCTGGTTCCCACCAGACCTTGACTGGCTAGGTTGGTCTTTCCCACCCCAGGGCTGAGTGAACCTGGAACAATGCTACTGGCTAACAAAAAAAGAAAGGAAAGACACCAGATTTATTACAATAGCAACCCTGACAAGTCAAAGGCAGCCTTTTCATCTCGAGATAATAATAACAACCTAGTAATACTAACTTTTTATGGGAGCTCTTATTAAGTGCCAGGCAGAGCTTTAAGTGCTTCATTCATATTAGTCTAATTCTCACAGCAACACTCCCCAGAAGTTCACTGCAGGACACAGTATGTGCAGAGTTTAGCAGCTCAGGAGACCACCTGGGTTTGCCATCCTGGCCCTGCCACCTACCAGTGCAGCTCTAGCCAGTTTGGGTGGCCTTGGGTTTATGTTATATAACCTCTCATGACTCAGTTTTCTCTCTTGTAAAATGGGTGTGATGACAGAATTTCCCCCCGGGGTGGCTGTGAGGATAGAAGGAGTTAGTGTGTGTCAAGAGTGTGTAGAGAATAAATGCGAGTGACTGGTGGATGAGGAATTTGAACCCAGGTCTTTGTGCTGTTGAGGCCTGCGGGCTTACCCAGCACACAGACAGGAGGACAGACTCAGGGCAATTTCCATTACAGGACTGACCAGAGAACCGCTAAGGACTGTGGAGTCTGGACATGGGACAGAAGAGGAAGTGGGGCAGAAAGGGGCTGGGAGTACTCAGAGGCAAGGCCTATCCGGCTGTCGGCTCAGGTCTTACCTTCCGCTAATGCCCTCAAATTTAGTCTTTGGACATTATTATGAAAGAGGTTACAACTAGTCAAGACGCACCAATAGGCTTGAAAAAACAGATGCTCATTTGTACAGCTGAATTTACAAAATGCAAATATCGACAATATTCTAGAAGTAGTTTTTTAAGACCTACCTACCTAGCATCTGACTTAGTTGTTATACTCCTGGCAACTCTGTCTTCCCGTGGCCTCCAGGACACTGTACTCGCCTGGTCCTTCTTCATCAATGGCGGCTGCTTCGCGGTCTCCTCTGTTGGTTCTGTGAATGAAGAAGGAGCCACACAGTAGACCCAACAAGAGCAGGCAGCCACATGGCAGTCTGACAAGCTCAGTGATGGAAGGTCACCACACAGGATGGTCTGATCGTAAGGTCCTCACTGGGCAGGCCACAGTGAGGAGCCACTTCCCAGGCTCATAGCTTCTTTAGCAAAAGTCAGTCTTAACCTTGAGCCCTATGGATTGTTCTTAGGCGTCTAGGATAAAGTGCCTTTGAAACGTTAGAGTAATTCTCTTTCCCGGACCCCACAGAGTCACAACTGCAGCACCAGGGCAGAGACCACGAAACTCCTCATTGTTAGCTTGCTGCCCACAGAGCACCTCTACAGTACTGTGAAGGTTAAATGTTCACTGTCCAGCACCCAGCTATGTAAAGAAGTACAGTGGGGCCTTGACTTACGAGTTTAACTCAAATTACTCTATCAACTCAATGCAAAAAAATCGGCCGAGAGACAGCTGGTATCTCAAAAAATTCGTTAGTTGGGACACTCGTAAGTCAAGGCCCCACTGTATGTGTTTCTGCATTTTGCATTTAATACAATCCTAGAGATGTCCTCACTTTGCCTTTTTCCTGCCTCTTTAATTGACCAACGATGGATTTCATGTAACCTTCCTTAAGTTTATCTCCTTTGATTCTAAAATGTATAAAATGAACTGCAATAAATAAATAAATAAAACAAAACGAAAAAATAAAATAAAATGAACTGCAAAACTGTCATAGCAGCTAGAATAAGCCCCGCCGGTGCGCTGGCCACTGTAGACAGGTTAGTAATGGAAGTTAAGGAGGATAAATTCCAGCAGCAAAACACGTGACTCCATTAAGGTCTGGCTCTGCCTCGGGAGAGGCTCCACTGCGCAGCCGCAGGAGCTGGGCGGGGCCTGCGCAGCCGCAGGAGCAGCTGGGCGGGTCTGCGCAACTGCGGAGTAGCTGGCAGCCCGGGGTGGGGACACCTCGGACCCGCGCTCTTTCGCGCTGGGCCCGAGGCAGCTGGAGCCGCCGAGTTGGTCTGGTCCCTGCGCCCCGCACCGCAGCGGGTGAGACCGGCTCCGCTGCGCCGGCCTCGGGCCACCAGCCGTCCTCCCCAGGGCCGCCGCCACCATGCTGCTGCCCGTGTTCACCCTGAAACTGCGCCACAAAATCAGCCCCCGCATGGTGGCCATAGGGCGCTACGACGGGACGCACCCGTGCCTGGCGGCTGCCACCCAAGCGGGCAAGGTAACCGCTCCCACCGCACGGAGCCTGGGCCCCTGGAGTCCCACGATCTCCGCGGGCCGCTACCCTCGACCCCGCCCCTCATCCCCCGACTCCGCCCCCAGCCTTGGGTTGCCTGGCAACCGGTCGGTAGTCCCGTAGTTCTCCATCCTGCGCAGAATAATGAACAATGGGGTCTCGCATGAATGGCTTTTCTGAGCAGTGAACTGTGCAAGGGGAAGGGACTGGTCAGGGTTAGCAGTGGTAACAGACCTGATTCTCTGCCTTTCCTTCTGAACTCCTTCCACTATGTCAGACTGCCCCGAGCCACACAACTTGGTGAAAAAATATAGACAACGACCCCACCCCCCAATGAAATGATTCAGATTGCACTTTTGATTTTGATATGTATCCATGTACATTCACATCTTTTCCCATAAGTTATTCACTGAATACCTATGTACTTAGTGAATAACTTATGGGGAAAGATGTGCCAGGTGCTGTGCAAGGTGTGGGAGTCACAGAGACGAACAAGACATGGTCATTCAACGGCCACCAATTTTTAAAAAAGTGGTAGGTGTTGAGGATTGACATTCAACATCTCGGCATTCTTGCAACAATGCCAAGGGCAGCACCAGAGCGCTGGCTCTGGTACCTACTAATTTCATGACCCGGGGCAAGTTACTTAATATTACCTACAACATCTGGTTGTTATGAGGATTAAATAAGTTAATATATATGAAGCATTTGCCATATAAGAAATGGTCACTAATTGTTAACTGTTATTTTTTATCCCTCCAACGTCACTGACTAGTGGTTCAGAAAGGTTTGAAGTGATACTTGAGGTCACTCAACTAGAAAGTCATGGAAATGAGATTAGAGTCCTTGTTCTCTGACCCAGCGCAGATTTCATAATGATTAAAACATATATATAATAACCCTTTCCCTTATGTTGTGTATTCTTAGGATATGCCTTGGGATACATAATTAAAAAATAATTTTCATTAAGTTGTTTAATGGAGTAAAGCACTTAGCACAGGCTCTGGCAAAGAATAATGCTCATTGCTATTATTAAGCACTGACAAATGCCAGACAGAAATTCATATTGTGTCTGCTGGGAAGGGCCCATTGATAGTAGCTCAGCCCCTAATTTATTGAGGTCTTATGTGCTGGGTACTGTTCTTAGCTCTGCAGGTGCAAGGGTGAATGTGATGAGTCTCTCCCCCTTAGCACTTATATTTGAGAGGGGAAACCAGACAATTAAGGGGGCAAAATGTATTTTTATATCTGAGATTTGTATGACTCAGTTAAAGTCTGTAAAACATTTACTAACTACCAGACTGTTTTAAGGGTTAGGAAGTGAATTCATTCAGTGCTTGGTTGAAAGATACTAAAGGAAGTGTTTATTATTTTATTTGCTGGGATCGTTTTGGTGTGTCAGAGTGCTCTGACAGCCTGCTGGAGCCTAGCATGTAAGCTGCCCTAGTAAGCAACTAGATCAGCGGTTCTCAACCTGTGGCGGTCGAACAACCCTTTCACGGGGGTCGCCTAAGACCATCCTGCATATCAGATATTTACATTACGATTCATAACAGTAGCAACATGACAGTGATGAAGTAGGAACGAAAATAATCTTATGGTTGGGTCACAACATGAGGAACTGTATTTAAAGGGCCAGAAGGTTGAGAACCACTGACCTAGATCTTGTACAGGACCTTGTTCTTTACAATGCCAGGAACCATGGATTCCCAGAGTTCATAGTGATTGAAAGCCAGCCATGCACAGAACTGTGTTGTAGGTGTTTTAAGTAAGTTTATGGGTGATTAAAGTGACTTTTTGTTAATGTTGGTATCTGTTAATAACCGAGTCTTTTAGAAAATATATGTTAATTTTACGTATTTTAAGGGAATGTAATGAACTGGTTTTGTTGCAGGTTTTTATTCACAATCCTCATACACGGAGCCAGCATATCAGCGCGCCCAGAGTCTACCAGAGCCCCCTGGAGTCTGATGTTTCTCTTCTCAACATCAACCAGGCTGTCAGCTGCCTGACTGCAGGAGTACTGAACCCTGCACTTGGCTGTGATGCTCTTTTAGTGGGGACACAGACGAATCTTTTGGCTTATGATGTCTACAATAATTCAGATTTTTTCTACAGAGAGGCAAGTATACCCCTTGATCGCCATAAAATCCCCCTGACCCATTCATGTTCATTCTGTTATGCTTGAACGAGATCAGACATGGATTTTGGTTTATTACGTGGCTGTTGTGCTGTAGTCCAACAACACGATGATTTTGCCATTTGCATCTGCTTCATCCACTTGACATTTATTTGGTCATGATTGCTAACCGCTTTCATTTTGCATTTCCCTCGTGAACAGTGATGTAGAACATCCTTTCCTGTGCCTGTTTATATGTCTTTTGTGAAGTGTTTAAGTCTTTGCCTATTTATTTATTAGTAGTTTGTGTGTATTATTGATTTGTACAAGTTCTTTGGAGATAGTGGGTACAAGTTCTTTGGAGATAGTGGGTACAAGTTCTTTGTCAGATTTATATATAACAGATAGTTTCTCCCAGTATGTGGCTTATTCCAACAGGTAGGTATCTTTGATGAGTAAGTGTTTTCAATTTTGATAAAGCCCAGCTATTCAATTTTTTTTCTTTAACTGTGTGTGAGTGCTTTTCCTGACCTTCTAAGCCCTTTGGTCACATAGATACGCTTCCTGTGTTATTGCACAAGACTAGAATTGAGTTTAGGACTGTATTAGGGTTCTCCAGATAAACAGAATTAACAGGATGTGTATATAGAGAGAGGGGTGGGGTGGGGTATATTTTAAAGAATTGGTTCACGTGGTTGTGGAGGCTGTCAAGTCCAAAATTTGCAGGGTCGGCTAGCAGGCTGGAGACCCAGGGAAGAGCTGATGTTGAAACACAAGTCTGAAGGCAGTGTTCTGAATTCTTCCTTCCTCAGGGACCAGTCTTTTTCTCTTCAGATCTTCAACTAATTGGACGAGGCCCTCCCACATTATAATCTGCCTTACTCAGAGGCTACTGATTTAAATGTTAATCTCGTCTAAACATACCTCCACAGAAGCATCTAGAATAATGTTTGGTCAAGTATCCTACAGAGCCTTGGACTTCGTAGCACCTTATTGTAGTAGTTTAGTGTGTGACGCCAAGGGCCTGAGTGTGCCCTGCATCTGCGCTCAGCCTTGCATCAGCACGCCAACGCCACAGTGACATACACCTGCCTCTCAGGAGACCATGTGGCTTCTCACATTGATGACGGAGGAATTTGAGTATCCAAATACAGATAAGGATACATGTTACCTCCCGTGTGCCTGCGCATCCTTGTTATCTGAGATTTTATTTTTTTTTCTTCTTAGGTGGCAGATGGGGCCAATGCAATTGTGTTGGGGACACTGGGGGACATTTCCTCTCCTCTTGCGATTATTGGTGGAAATTGTGCTCTGCAGGGTTTCGATCATGAAGGAAAGGACCTTTTTTGGACGGTATGCAGAACAAAACACTCTCTTTAGGACTAATTTTTACTCTAAATGTTCTTTATTTAGCTTTGTTTGTCTTTTACCATCCGTATTTATAATTCTGTGCATTAAAAAATAGCAAAATTTGAATAACACCTGTTGGTGGTTTGTAATCTTCTCTTCCCTGTGGCTATTACAGTCAGATGGAGTGGAAAAAGAGGGCATGCTCATGACACTGGGTTTTGTTTTCAGGTCACTGGAGATAACGTTCATTCCTTGGCCTTGTGTGACTTCGATGGTGATGGGAAAAAAGAGGTATGTGGGGGAGGAGATACTTCTCTCTGTGTTCAGCTGAATACATTTTCCCGTGCGGCGACCTTGGTGTTGGGGGAAGTGTCAGCTTCTCATGGCTGCTCTTGGGCTCTGATGCCTCAGTAATGAGCTCCCTGTTCTCATTTGTCTTTCTCCTGTCTTTTGAACAGTACATCACTTTGCTTGTCTAGTGCAAAGATCAAGGCCGTGATGTTTCAAAGGCACAGGACAGGGAGGGAGGGTGGAACAGTTGATGGGACTGCAGTCATGGTCACAATCTTATAACTTGCTTTTGATGCTTTCGAATCATATCAGTAAACAGTTTTCAAGTTTGGCCAACTTTTTCAGGAATTTAGAAGTTTTAGAGATTGGCTCTTAGTTTTTGAAATGGATTCCCATGGTTCCTCTAGAAATTAGCTTCCTGAGCAGCCAGCGAACTGCTGTGTTGGGCAGCGACTTGCCCCTCTCTTGCCCATGGATGCCAGGCTCTGGCATTTGAAATGGGGCTTCCATCTGAGACAGGCAGGCGCTGAACCAGGGGGCACTTTCAGGTGCGACTGGAAGAACACGCCCTGATGGGATGTGCAGCCCCCATGGCTGGAGGAAATCTCTAGAGCCACTACTTCTTTTTTAAAAAATCATATTTGTATTGATTTCAGAGAGGGAGCAAGAGATAGAAACATCAGTGATGAGGGAATCATTGATTGGCTGCCTCCTGCATGCCCTGTACTGTAGATTGAGTCCAGAAACCCGGGCATGTGCCCTGACTGGGAATTAAGCTGTGACCCCCTGGTTTACAGGTTGATGCTCAACCACTGAGCCACACTGGCCAGGCAAGCCACTGTTTCTTCACTGACTGAATTTGTTGACGTTCACATTGGAGGGAACTTTCCGGAGCATTGGCTCGCTGGGAAACTAGAAGTCTTGGGTAGCAGTTAGCGACATACAAAATATTATGCAATTTTTTGTTTTATTTATGGGAATTTTTCTGTGTTCACTTGCTGAACTAAATATGCATGTTTTTATTTTAAGCTTCTTGTTGGATCTGAGGACTTCGATATTCGAGTTTTTAAAGAAGATGAGATTGTGGCAGAAATGACAGAAACAGAGGTGAGAAGTGTGACCTTGGGCAACATAGATGAGCACAGTCCAATGTAACATCAGATGAGCATGCTGGCCATTTCACAGTCTAGACTGTTGTAGGGTAAAAACTGTGGGCGTTAAACAGAGCTGGACATTACAGAGAAAGAAGCATTTAAAAATCTTGTATAAGACATATTTTGAAAAGACTGATTAAATAAAGGAAAATTGAGTGGAAAGGCATTTGCTTTAATGAGTCACATCATCATCATCATCATCATGGCAACTATTTATTATGCACTTAGTATATGCCAGTCACTGTTCTAAGTGCTTTACATCAGTTAAGTCATTTAACTCTACAACAGCCCTATGGGGAAGGAAATACTGTTGTTCCCATTTCAATGATATTAAGGTTCTTCGTTAAATTACACACACAGGCCATGGCTACTAAGTGGCTTGGTCAGGACTTGAACCTGTGTGTCTTGTCCTCTTCCTCCTCCTCGTGTCTGTAAAATGGGTTTGAATGAAGTGCATAAGTGAGATTTTTATACTTTTTTCTCTTCATTCAAATTAAGTACTTCTTAGGCACATTTCTGTAGGTAAACTTAAGAATTAGATGTTAGAGAACTTGGCTACTTTCTTTGTGACTATAATTACTTCATGTGATTGAACCTGATATATTTCTTAAAGAATTTAAACTTCATTTTTCAAAGCAGTCCCTAAGATTGCCCTGGTCCTTTGTTGTTTTGACATGCTTCGGATATAAGCTGCTGATTTTCCAGCAATGAGCAAGATGGAAGCAGAATAATTAGGATATTCTGAATTAAGGAAATAGAAGTTAAAGGAGCAATGGCTTGTGAACATTATAAACCGACAGAAAGAAAAAAAAAAGAGAAAGCAGAGAGTCTGAGAGGTCAGAATGGCCAGATTCTGCAAAATGTAGTCACGTGGTGTGTGGGAGTCTGGCCTTAAAACTGCACTTGACCACTTATTCTTGCTTCTCAACCACTGAACCACACCAGCCATCCCCTCCCCCGCAAAAAACTGACTTGACAATCACTGGCCTGTCGGTGCGGTGCCTGCATTGTCATTTCCCTTTCATGCAAAGTTGTAGTAAATCTTTTCCCATTTGGTGGGAATCATTCACGTTTCATTGGATTTCTGTTGTCAATACTTGATGTGAGGAGGGTGCATTCTTTTCTAAATCCTAGAAGAAGCCAGGAAAACATGAAGTAGAACTAGGGCTTTGAGGTGACTATTGACCCTCTCGTCCACACAAGAAAAACTAGTGAACTAAGGAAGGACTAAGTGGCATAGGCAATCTGGGCTTAAATATATGAAAATGTGGACTTTGTAAAATTGTTCATTTCAGGGCCATTTTCTTGTCCTGTCAGTTTGATTTTGCCCCTAGCTCAAATGTCTTTTCCCAGATCAGCAAAATCATAATTTATTTGGCAGTTCAGCAGTACCAGGGACTGCCAGAAGAATGCCTCGAGCTAAGTAATTCTGAAACCCTAACAGCACTTTGTATTCAGAGTTAAGTGATGTGGGTGGTTTTGTAGAAAAGCTGTAGGTGTAGAGGAAATTACATAACTATTCTCTGCTTTACAATTTATTTCTTAAATATCTTTTATTAGGGTCAGAATGAGAAAGTAGATCTGCAAGATCATAGATGTTATTAAGCTTTAATTTTAACTTTAAAGGTAATTTTGTTTAGTATGTAAAAATTTATGTTTGAGATGTTAAACTCCAGTCCTAATATATGCATTCTATGTATTTTCACATACATACACAGAGGCATGTGCTTGGGTTGTCACTTTTCTAAGGATTATGTGTGTTTTTTTTCTTTCTAAAAAATGTCTTTCATTTCTAGCAAACAAATTATGTCACAGAAAAAAAAGCATACACATAAAAGACATTTAGTGGTGGATTTTGTAAGTTTTTTTAAAATTTAGACTCTGGGCCCTGGCCCAATAGCTCAGTTGGTTAGAGTGTCATCCTGATACACCAAGATTGTGGGTTTGATCCCCGTCAGGGAACAAACAAGAATCAACCAATCAATGCATAAATAAGTGAAACAACAAATAGATGTTTCTGTCTCTCTCAAAAATAAATTTAGACAGTGGGATATTATAAGTGAAGGTATAATATTGGAATAGTCATGAAAACATTTTGAGTTAGTGTGAATTGTACATACTCTAGATCTTGTGTACTGCGCTTATTTCCTCCTTTGTCCCTCAATCTTATAGAATTTCTTTTTGTAATTTGCTGAAACTTGCCACATAAGCTTGATCTAAAACAGCAAACTTTGGAAGTTTATTCAGTTCTGATTATCCAGCCTGTGAAATAGATGCATTTGAAAAGAGGAATACCTTACCCACTAATGGACTGGAAGTGCATTTAAATCTAATTTTAACACACTTGTAGCAAGGCAGGCAGTTCTACAAAGCCATGCTTCACCTTAAATTGAGTCTTAATGAAACGCTGAGGTATTTTCATGTGCTATTTTTTGCAGATAATCACGTCTCTCTGCCCACTGTATGGCAGTCGGTTTGGTTATGCCCTTGCCAACGGCACAGTTGGAGTTTACGACAAAACAGCCCGATACTGGAGAATTAAAGTTAGTATGATTCAGCCTCTGCTATGCAGAGATTTTCTACGCACTGAGAGACTTCTGTACTAATTATTGAAATTCCTTTTCAGTCCAAGAATTATGCCATGAGCATTCATGCTTTTGACCTTAATTCTGATGGAGTGTGCGAACTGATAACTGGTTGGTCCAATGGGAAGGTAAGTTAAATAGCAGAGTTCAGGTGTAATTCAAACTAATAACTGTCTGAGACATACTGGCTGTAGGATTCAGAACAGTAACGTGAGGGTACAAACTCGCATTCCTTGGCTGTGCTTTCAAATTTAACTTCATAATCTTTCCACATTTTTTCTTCCTGCTGTAGTTGTCAACACTATAGCGAGTGTCCTTTTGGCCTTATGGCTCTAGTTGGTGATAATCTCCAGCGGATTCTTTCTAAATCTCTTCCTGGAAGGACTGAGAATCCATGCAGTCAGGGTGACTAGTCATAGTCAGCAAAACAAGGAATTTTAATAAGCTAATAAAGAACCATTTGTATCGCTCTTTTCTAATTAATGCAAATAGTGTTTCCCCAGCTATAACTTCAAAATAAAATCTTTTTGCTTTCTTTTTTCACTTCAGATCAGAATTTTGTACAGTGTTTTGGCAGGTCAGGGTTGTTTTGTGAGGCTGTCTGTGTGCTGCCAGATCTCCATGGCACCGTTTGCCCTCACTCTCCTCTGCCAGTGATGATTGCCTGGGGATCAGCTAATTCTTGGCTTTTCTTCTTCGATTTTTCTTTACTTTTGGCCAGGACCATGTAAACTTCCTTTGCTATTATGCTGGTCTGGGTGTTAACAATTATAAGGAAAGACTGTGTAGTTGCATATTAAGAAATTTGAAAATCCAAAGATGAAAGGCTTCAGCACCCATAATTTTCAGGCTTCCCTGATGTTACTAATAGCGTGGATACGTGAATGTGATGTTCTCCAGACCAAGGGTAGGAGCTGGTAGTAGGCCAGGACCTAAATTACTTTATTTTCTCATTGCAGTTTTGACTAGAGGATGTTTATGAAAAGATAAAAGTAGTGAGTGGCCTGGGCCATTGAGATTTTCTATAGATAGTCTTTTGTTGATAACATGTGTTTTGCTTAGAACACAATCATCACTTAGAACACAAATCTTCATTGTTGATTTTGAGGTGCATTTGTTCCTGGTGAGTTGGGTATGTATTTGCCTCTCCTAGGAAGAGGAGACTCAAAGATGATAGGAGACTCACTAGGTATCCCAATAGTTTTTAAGGGGAAGAGGGACTCTTAAACAGGGTATTATAAAAGGTTATATCTGTGGTAGAAGGTTGGCTAGTTTGGCATTTTCAAACTTTAGATATAGCTGTATTTCAACATTTATATGTAATAAAGAAATTTTTTTTATATAGAGCTAACCTTTCTTGTATACCTCTATATGCCAGGCCCTGTTCTAAGTGCTTTACATGTGTTAGCTCCTTTAGGCCTCATTCCAACCTAAGGGGTGTATGTGCAGTTATTGTCGTCATGTTCTTGTCATGGACCCGCCGATGAGGAGACAGGCCCAGCCAGGGTGGCTAGGAAGCTTGCCCACGATCCCAGGGATAGCAAGGGCACAGCGGGGCTGGAAGCCAGGCAGCTGGCCTCGGGCCCCAGAGGTCATAGGTGCCTCCTCCGAACCCACAGGGCCCCATGGAGTACTCTGGGAAGCTGCTCAGCTAAATGACCTTGACATTTTCGTCTTTTTAAAAAACGACCATAAGCGATTTTTCAAGTTCTCATTTTACTTTCAGGTTGATGCTCGAAGTGACCGAACTGGGGAGGTCATCTTTAAAGACAACTTTTCTTCTGCAATCGCTGGTGTGGTAGAGGGAGATTACCGGATGGATGGCCACGTCCAGTTAATCTGCTGTTCAGTGGATGGGGAAAGTAAATCGGGATGGGAAAATCCTTGAGAAGTCAGATTTTCAGTTTGATTGGGTCAGAATACCAGACATTCCACTGTAAAATGTTTGCTTTGCTATCCTCTGGTCCTAACAAGTTCACCTACGTTGGGGCATGAGAACTTAGGTGCGTGGTTATCGGACCAGGTAACTGATGACTTGCAAGCAGACCTGGCTGTGCGTGGGCTGTTCCTTAGTGTGGTGAGCATTTGTTCCTTCTCTTCAGTCCGGGGCTACCTGCCAGGCTCGGCTGAGATGAGAGGGAACCTCATGGACACCAGCGTAGAGCAGGAGCTTATCCGAGAGCTGAGTCAGAAAAAACAGAATCTGTTGCTGGAACTCCATAACTACGAGGAAAATGCCAAGGTGGGGCCTAATGTGGAGGGGACATGGAATCTGAAAAGTTGGGGGTCGGCATGTGAAAGCAGAACGAGAATGTCAGTGTCTGCCACGTGCGGGCTCCCTCCTTCCCACTGGCAGGAGCACAGCTGCTTCAGCCTTGTTTGCCTGGGTCAGAATGGAGGCGCATGTGTCCTTTCATCTAGAAACGCCACTTGCAGGCAGCTGAGCAATAGCGATCTTTTCAGTGGTCCAAGACATTTGCGGCAGCGCCATTGGTAGCAGCGAGCGGTGGGAAGCAGCTTAGATGGTGACCAGGAGCAGGGAGTATACGCTGGGGAATATGAAGCTGCTCAAAAGAATGAAGTGTATGTACTTGGGCTGATATGGAAGGATATGTGGTATTAAGTGGGGAAAAAAAAGAAGGAATACGTATGGGGTATCTTTTTACAAAACAACATAAAAAGTGACAACCTGGGACCCTTCAGTCCGCAGGCTGACGCTCTTTGCATTGAGCCAAACCGGCGAGGGCACACATAACTATTTTTGAATTTGCTATGCTAAATGAATTGTTACTTTAAGAGATCAATGTAAAAAATGTGAAAGGCATGATGGGGTACAGTGGACCTGAAACACAGAAAGGGACGAAGGTATTTTTGCTTGGGAAAAGGCGGGGTAGAGCAAGGGGGTGCTAATGAGGAGTCTTCTGAATTCTGAAAAGCCAGATGAATATAAGATAACCACAGCATTAACAGCGACGCTGGTTCACTGTGGTGACTGAGTTGGAAGCGTGGGATGTTTTGCAGGCCGAGTGGAGCAGCCCACTGAGTGAGGCCGATGGGCAGTGGGGCACAATCCCAGCCAACACCAAGCTCCACACCGCCCTCTCAGTCAACCTGGGGAGCGAGACTCGGGCTGCTCACACAGAATTGTGCATTTCCACTTCGAACGGTAAGAGATGATTTAGAGCTGGCATTTTTAGGCACCTGTGCCATCTCCGAGTGGTTCTTCAACTGCCTTCCGTTTCCCCTCTTCCCCGCAGACACCATCATCCGAGCGGTAATGATTTTCGCAGAGGGCATTTTTCTAGGCGAGAGCCACGTGGTGCACCCCAGCATCCACAGCCTTTCCAGCTCCATCTGCATCCCTATCACACCTCCCAGAGATGTCCCTGTGGATCTGCACTTGAAGACCTTCGTGGGTTACAGGAGCAGGTGACCCTCTGCAAGTCCGTTGATTTGCAGACGACACTGAGAGGGCGAGACGTGGGGTTTTTCCGTGGCACCAGGGGTCCCGCGGGGCCACAGGAGCCTTTAATGGTTCCCAGGACCTTATTTCCCTAATTCGAAATCTTCCAAAAAAGGGGGGTATTTAAGTTTCAGATGGTTATTTTCTGGTTTTAGTCTGATGATTTTATAATCACAAGATATGGTTAACTGATGATTTGTCAACTTCTAGTTTTGACCACTAAGATTGTAAGGGTTGGGATGCAGCTTTATATTAGAGTTTTATATACCTCAGCTTGTGGAGGAAATCCACTGGATTTGTGGGAGACAAAAAGCCTTTTCACACTTTTTTTTGGTTCTTTTAAGCCCTTGGTTTATTTGTATATGTAGACTTACGTTATCTCCAAATCTCAAACCCCATTAACATATTACTTAGCCTCAAGTTTTGGGTGATTTTTTTTGCCATCTGTGAAACCCTTAATATCAACACGAAGACTTAGTGACTGTATTTTCTGGGCCTTGCGCTTTGAAACCGTTCTCTTGTGTCCCATTGGTCGGCCACAGCACCCAGTTTCACGTGTTTGAACTGACCAGACAGCTCCCAAGATTCTCCATGTATGCGCTGACCAGCCTGGACTCCGCCAGCCAGCCGCTTGGTTACGTCAACTTTACCATTGCTGAACGGGCCCAGAGAGTGAGCATCTGGCTGTTTTCTTTCAATACGTGTGCATTTTAGAATCCTTTGGATGTTATTTATTAGAAGAGAGGAATCACATGAATGAGTTATTTGATAGCAGTGAATATGACATGAGTTATATGGCTTGGAGTTGGTTGATAACCTAACAAAAATGTTAAATTACCCCCTTCCCCCATTCTGAAAAAATACAGACTGTATTTACCTGAACAAATCCTCAGTTACAGGTGAATGCTCACCAGTTTTTAATTTCTCTCTATGGTTATGGTCCCAGTGTGGTTGTCCTGACCTAGTATTTAAAGAGGATCCTGCATCCAAATGGAAGGAGAGTGGGACTTGGGGCTGGGAATATTTTTGGGCTCAAATGCTACCTTACCTGATTAATTTCTTAGTGATTTTTGGGAAATGCCCTGCACCAGTCTGAGCCTCAGTTTCTTATCTGTGAGGATATCTTACCTCCCAGGGGTCCCTGAAGATTACATAATTGGTGTAAAAGCTCCTTGTAAATTTGAGAGACCTGATACCAATGGACTTTAATCATGGCTGGACCTCAGATTCTTAGTGAGACTTTTTAATCACGTAGATTCTCAGGCCCGTGCCCAGCCCATGGAACCAGACACCCCCATAGGTGGGCCCTTCCAAAAGCCTCATGGTGGTTCTTATGTGGAACTTGCATTATAAACCACTGTAAATATTAACTTATTAATATTAACTTATTAATATTAAATTTTATTGTGTGGATGTGTCACAGTGTCTATGCTCTGTGTGCATGCATATTTCTTTTTTTTTTTTTTTAAGAATGGACTGGAGTAATTTTAAGCAGGTTACATTGTCCAGAACATAGCCACAGAAGAGCTATCGTGTAAACAGAATTAGCACCATACCTGAATTGTTTCCGCATTGCATATAAGTTTATGTCTAATTTGAAGATACTATTAAGTCATGCATGCTGTGGGGCCAGACATAATTATGAACATGCAGGTGGGGAAAGGGAGTGTGGTTAGTGTTTCCCTGGTGGGGGTGGTGTGTTCATTTACCAAACAATGAAACGAGAAAGGAGGATAACTCTTAACAATGACTGTACTTGAAAATGACTATATACTTGAAGTTCACTTCATCCTATTCATTTTTAAGGTTTTTGTATGGCTCAACCAGAACTTTCTGCTCCCAGAAGACACCGACATTCAGAATGCTCCATTTCAAGTGTGTTTCACATCCTTACGGAACGGTAGCCAGCTGTATATAAAAGTAATGCTGAGTGGAGAGGTAAAGTTTAATGTTTTGGACATAACTTAAGTCTGTTAGGTTTTCTGCCTCCCTCCCTCCTTCCCTTTAGCACTTCCTTGTTTAACTTGGGGAGGGTTAGAATACAGAGGTGAACAGAAACATTTTCACTGTTTGAATGATTTTGTTGTTTAGTTTATGAGGCTAAAGGAATGATCTTTTAACCTGCTGCTAAAATAATGAATGTGGTTTGTAATTTCCTTGAGGGTTAACCCCTATCTTATTCATCACCACTTATAAATTTATACTCAATAAATGTGTTGAGAATGGGGAAATTCAGGTTTCAGCTTAGTTTGTCTTTAATATCTGAGGATGCTGAACTTGTCTCTTTTCCTCTGGATAGATCACTGTGAAGACTGATGACATTGATCTGGCTGGTGACATCATCCAGTCAATTGCATCATTTTTTGCTATTGAAGACCTTCAGGTGGAAGCAGATTTCCCTGTCTACTTTGAGGAGTTACGAAAAGTGCTAGTTAAGGTGAGGGCTACCAATGGATGCATTTATGAGAACGTGGCAGTTTAATGTCTGAAATGTTTCTCGTAGGGGAGTAATGGCACTACGACTGTATGTGTGTTATATGATAATTACATTTTAAAGCATTCTGCAAATTCTCAAAATCAAAATTGAACTAGTATTGGAGAGTTCACTAGTTAAAAAATTTCTTTTATAACAGTGAGTGGTTAGCTCTTGACCACCCTGCTTTCTTTCTTTGATTTGGGGGGAATACTTTTTAAAATATATATCAGCAGTTTCCTTTGCTAACCCTTCATCTTACTTTTATCTACTTTGCTCTTTGGTTTAGGGATTTCCAACAACACAAATTCAAAAGAAAAAGGAAAAACTAACAATTTTGATTGGTCCCAAATTATAACAAAGTTCCTACCCCCAATCTCTAGAATGTTAATATGAGCGTTGCTAGGGCTCCCATGCTTAGGCACTAACAGGATCCAACTGGAATGTCATTGTGAGTGTTGGAGGCAGCACAGACTAATCACTTCACTGAGGAGGAGCTGACACAACGGGGTTAAGATGGGCCAAGTCAGCAGGGGCAAGGAGAGGGCCTTGCTATGGTAGACAGTGTCTTCTCAGGCCGTCTGGTTTTTAAGCAGTCTGGGAGGTCTTTTTCATTCCTGAGTGTTCACGGTCTCCAGGTGGATGAATATCACTCAGTGCATCAGAAGCTCAGTGCTGACATGGCTGACAATTCCAACCTGATCCGAAGTTTGCTGGTCCGAGCTGAGGATGCTCGTCTGATGAGGGACATGTGAGTATCCACTGTGACTAGGACAGGTACAAGATGAAACATGGCAGCAATATGGAATAGCAGCTCTCAGATGCTACTAGGAGGAGTGTGTTTGGTACAAAGACTTTGTAAAATAACTTGGCATTATCAGTAGAGTTGAAAATACGCACACCCTGTGCCCCAGCAACTCTCCTGGTTTACAACCTAGAGAAACGAATGCCGGTGTAAAGCAGGATATTTTTATAAGAATGCTCATAAAGGCTTGTTCATGAGAACCCCAAAGAGGAGACAGTCCAAACTAGCATCAACACTACTGTGGATAAATTATGGTATGTCCATACAAACGGAACACTGCTCGCAATGAGAATGCATGTATCTCAATAACATGTGCCAACGTGAACAGACCTTATAAGCATAATGGAGATAGGCAGAAGTAAGACTCAAAAGAATATGTGTAAAATGCTTCCATTTATATATAGTTTGGAAACAGATTAAACTAAACTGTATCATTTGGGAAGCGTACATAGATGATAAAAATATAAAGAAATGCAGGGGATGTCGAGACTGGTTTGGCTCAGTGGATAGAGCGTCGGCCTGCGGACTGAAAGGTCCCAGGTTCGATTCCAGTCAAGGGCATGTACCTGGGTTGCAGGCACATCCCCAGTAGGAGATGTGCAAGAGGCAGCTGATCGATGTTTCTCTCTCATCGATGTTTCTAACTCTCTCTCTATCTCTCTCCCTTCCTCTCTGTAAAAAATCAATAAAATATATTCTAAAAAAAAAAAAAAAAAAAAAAAGAAATGCAGGGGAGAGATTCTCATATAAGATAGTATTTTCTCCTCAGGAAGAGCACATTAGGAAGCTTCTGGAATGCTGGCAATGCCTTTTTGACTTGGATAATAAACATTTGTTCTGTGAATTTTTTCAAATGTGCATTATATTTTACAATAAAAAGGTGAAAATGAATAGGGGCAGGTCTAGCAGATTTTGTCTAATTATGCTAATTTGAAGCCTGGAAGATAGGCGATCACCTTGCTCACTTTTCCCAGCATAGTGGGCACTTGATCATTCTTGGCTCCTAAATTCAAACAAACTGTGGACTGATAAGAGAGGAAGACCACTTGCCTTCCATTTATTTGTAAGAAATAGAGTACTTTGATAGAAACTTCTCAATGTTTCCAAAGCAAAATTTAGAATTACCCTGCTTTAATGACAAACAGCTAAGAATTTGGTGTCTTCTATTCTTTGTGCCTGAGAAGTTTGCACGGTTTTTTCATTTAAGCCTGCCATATCGAGGTACAATGATGTTCAATTTCTATTGATTTACACAGGAAAACAATGAAGAATCGCTATATGGAGCTCTATGATCTTAATAAAGACTTGCTAAGTGGATATAAGATTCGCTGTAACAATCACACAGAGCTGCTGGGAAACCTCAAAGCAGTAAATCAAGCAATTCAAAGAGCAGGCCGTCTGCGTGGTAAGTCTCTGTATAGCGCTGTCATTAATAATTTGGGGGTGAGAATCACTGAAGATGGTGGTAGCTTCGAGAATTCATATGGGGGCCTGTATCTATAGAGACTTTTAACACTCAGGTTGGCACCAGTCGCTTGAGTTTCAGTCAGCCTGTTCAGCTTGGTTAGTATCCAGATTTCAGAGGAAAGAAAGCTTGTAGTTCCTTTTCTTAGACCTTGCAGCATCCTTGAAAGAAAAACCTAGTGGCATATACCCAAGAGGAAAGCCTTAAGTACCCTTATTAAAACAAACAAAGGGAGACTGAAAATTAATGAGTTAAGTGTTCAATTTAAAAGTTAGAAAAAGAATAATAAAGTAACCCAAAGGAAAGGAAGCAGAAATAACCAGAGATTTTTACCTAAAATCTGCTGTTTGGGGTAAGTGCTTTTGACTTCCTTTTAGAGATAATCTTCAGTAGGTGGATATGAGCTTTGATCCTTTTCTATAAAACTGACTTGACTTCTAGGTTTGAAATGGTCTCTAGATTTGGTTTGTGATAAACTTCCTCATATAGGTTATCTTTTTAAGGGAGTGATAAGATAATTTAGTTGAATTTGCACTACCATTAACTCTCTTCTACCCTAATTTCACACTGTTTTAAAGCTGGCCTCTGATTTATAATTTCACTTTTAATAATCTTTCAGATTGTACTGATTTGCTATTTCTTTTCATATAGTTGGAAAACCAAAGAACCAGGTGATCACTGCTTGTCGGGATGCGATTCGAAGCAACAACATCAACACTCTGTTCAGAATCATGCGGGTGGGGACAACTTCTTCATAGGAGAGAGAATAGGTAGTGAAGTTCCTAGAAAGTGTTCTTTCCTAAAAATCTAGGTTGGTTTGCTTTGGATCGAATCCTGGTGAACTGAGGGTGCTGAGAATGAAAACAACCTTGGTGAATTGTACAAATGAAAGACAAAGCATTGCATCTGAAAAGTGTATTCACTTTCTGTTTTTAAGATCCAGTAGTTCTGTTGCCAAATAATAGTAGGTTTGTATGGAAGGAGGTGAATACTTTTGAAACATTAGGGCTCCGAAGTCCAATTATTTCTGCATATATGTAAAGCTGATGTATAGATACATCTATTTTCTTGTAATTGAACTTGTAATTTTAAAATAGATTACCTACCTTTACACATTAAAATTTGTGTTGACTGATTTTAAAATCACCACATCAGAATTGCATAAACCATTTCTATTACGTGCAGAGAAAAAAATACGGACATTTGTGTGCCTTCATTTTAATCATTGAAAGGTGGGTGTAAACAGATTTGTATTAAAAGTTTATGTGACCTATTGGTTGGAGTAATGTTAACTGCTAAAATAGACCTCAGAATTCCCAAGGACCCATTTACTTCTCAGTATGTCAGATTTCTCTATAGCTGCTCAGGGACATCTAGGGCAGCCTTTCTCAGCCTGAGTTCTCTAGAGTAGCGGTCGCCAACCTTTTGGACCTCACAGACCACCGGCTGGCAACCGCTGCTCTAGAGACACCTGCCTCAGGAATGACTGGAGCGACCACTTCTACTGCAGGCAGTGAGGACCTTATGGCCTTGGGGCTTCCCTCTCACTTGAAACTCTACGGGACCAGGGTTGTCCTAAGGCCTTGCAGTTATTTCTGTCCAAGCCAGCAGAAGAGGAAAAGCTTTTCAAGGCTGTGGTCTGGAAACGGCCCACTCCTTTCCACTCGTACTCCACAGCCAGTGTGGCCACGCCTGACTGCCAGGCCGGGAAATGTTACCTAGCTGCGTGCTTACCAGGAAGAGAAAGCTGAAGTGGGGCCAATACCTAGCAACTCCTCTTCTTCTTTTTTAAAATATATTTTTATTGATTTCAGAGAGGAAGGGAAAAGAAGAGATGGAAACATCAACGATGAGAGGGAATCATTGATTGGTTGCCTCCTGCACGCTCCCTACTGGGGACCGAGCCTGCAATCCGGGCATGTGCCCTTGACCGGAATCGAACCTGGGACCTTTGAGTCCGCAGGCCGATGCTCTATCCACTGAGCAAAACTGGCCAGGGCAGCAACTCCTTTTCTAAGAGTTAAAATTTTGCCTTAAGGTTGATTTCAGGACTGGTTTAGTCCGTTTTCACATCTTAGTAGTACTCATTCCTAAGTAGTTGAGGGAGAGGAGCCTTTCCTCTGTGGCAAAGGAACTTTACTAGGTTCCTCCAGTTGATCTTTAGGATTATGCCTCCTATTTCTGATAGGTGAGCTTTATGGAGTCCAAATTTTAATGAGATTATGCCTTATAATACCTTTGTTTTGCATTTCTAACTGTAAGTGCAAAAGACAGCCTTAATATACTGTTATTTTTTGTAATCCCTGAAGTAGTAAAGAATCTTCTACGGCAAAGGTGCAGAAATCGAAATGCAGGGATGAATTACTTGCCAGTCATAGAGCTCTTGGCAAAACTCCAGTCCTACTGTTGAGCCCTTTTCAGTTTCAACCATAGTCTAACATATACCTACTGAAGTGAAAATCTCTACTTGGCGCTGGTTTTAAATTGTATGGCACTTTTCTTCTGTAGGGACCCTGATAGCACACTCTCATCTCACCATTCTCTTGTTCTTTAGTCAAAATACTTCCTTCTTAGACCTTAAAGTATTCACGGGCAAGGCTTGATGGCACCAACCAGAAGCAAGATATTGTAAGTGTTTTTTCACATCACTCCGATCCCCTTGATACTAGTATCTCTGAGCTCAGAGAGGCAGACTATTGCCTACAGGGTCCCACAGCTTGGTTTGGTGAGTCATGTGGAGGTTTGAAACCAGGTAGTCCTGGCCCTTTCTGCTATTTTTAACTGTTCCCAAGCAAGTAGGACTGGATGAGATGAAAGTGTTCATAGAACATTCAGTTACCTTCCTTTCTTAGAAGTCACCATATTCAACTTAGGGATGAGAAAAACTCGTTATCAGTTACCTCCCTAGGTTTCTATCCTGATGGAATATGGTGCCTTCTAGAAGCTACACTTTAAGCTCTATTTTGTTGCTGAATTTTGTTGAAGCTTTAAGTGAACACTCGGCCTTTATGTAAAAGCTGATCTTGAGGATTTTGCTATCTGGGAGAAAGCTTTTCAGTCATTTTTTGAGCATCCCTTTGAAAAAGTCACCACCACCAGGTACTCAATATTTTAGAATGGTTTGTATTATTTCCCACCATATTTGCCTGTCCACACACATGAAGGCTCAGCTGAAATGCTCTCTTCTCAGACCGTTCCTCTCCCATGTCTATTCCTTAACCCTCATTACATCCTGTTTCTATAAACCTTAAGTCCCTCTGAAGTGAGAGCAGGGGCTGCGTCTTAATCAGCTTTATCTCCCCACAGTGCTGAGCGAATGCCTTCAGCACATACAGCGTCTGCTACTCTGCCCGAGACTGTCTGGTCCTCAGCCAGCCGTCAGTAGTTTTAGAAATCAAAGAACTAGGAACTTTATAACTATTATGCAACTCTGGACATGCTTTACAAGAATGATTTTCAACATTACTGAAGTTCTAACTTTTATAATTAGCAGTTACAAGTCTGCTAAAGCAGTCTCCTGTGATCACAGAACTAAATTATCTCCCATTTCACTCTGAAACTAAAGTACAAGATGGCACCCATGCAGCCTGGTGTTTTGCATTTTTTCCTCGTTCCCATCTGGCCCCTGCCCACACTATGTGCTCAGGCTCCTCAGTTATCTTGTTATTTGTATGGTACAGAAATCTGCTTTTCCTAAAATGATACCACATGGACAGTGCCTAAGTGATTTTCAGAGCTGTCTATGTGGACTGACTTTGTGTCAATCAGAGAAGGAATCAGTTTCTGTGGGAATGTTCAGTGCATGAAGACTGGAGCGCCTGCCTCTGGTGTCTGTCAAAGACTCTCCCAACAGGATTTGTACATTCTCACTATTAGTAGTGGTAAGTATATATAATGGCATTGAAGAGACCCTGCAGCCAAAACTTCCTGCTAAAAAATTACTGCTCTGGGAGAGAGAACCCAAGAGTTGGTATTTTGTGGTATTCTGTGGGGAAGAAACTACATGTGGTGAAATTTGGTTAAAATGGTAAACTTTATGTCACATGTTTTACCACACAAAAAACCCACATTTAAAAACTCCCCAAGCTCAAGGTCTAGACTGAGGACAATCACTGTGAGTCCTATTGAAGGCCGACCACGTGGTTTTAAGAAGTGTCAAGACAGGTTACCTGTAGCTCTCCTTTGCTGGATGCCAGCTCTTCCAGCCTTTCCAGTGCCGATGAAGGGTCTGTCTTCTCAGCTTCGCCCAGCCCCGTCATTCATAATAGACGAATGAGAAGTCCCAGAAACCTGTTCTGTTTGGGAAGGTTTTCTTTTGTTCTAGGCTTCGGTGGTTAATATGCTTGACAAATTTAAGAGTCTCTCTATCTCTGTAGACCAATGCCAAAGAATTATTTTCTGGATTCACTGTTAGCAGCTGAAACAAGCAAATACAATGACACATCAGAACACAGAGCTTATTCTAAACTCTTCAGTGATTCATCACTGAACACATGAATATCAAGTACTTCCATATCAAGTACTTAAGTCTGGCATAGGGGAGAGTAAAGAGCTTTAACTAGGAAGAGCTATTGCTCTGGCTGTCAAGTCATTTTCCAACAAACCCCATTCCAATACATACCCAGAAAACTTTCACCTAATGCATTCATTTATTACATTGAAAAACTGATGGGACTGTACCATGTGGCTCTTAATTCATGTGGAATTTCTTAGGGTAGAATAAATAAATCTTAGTGATTATCATTTAGCACAGTGGTTCTCAACCTTCCTAATGCTGCGACCCTTTAATACAGTTCCTCATGTTGTGGTGACCCCCACTTTCATTGTTACAAATTGAACATAATTAAAGCATAGTAATTAATCACAAAAACAACATGTAATTATATATGTGTTTTCCAATGGTCTCAGGCGACCTCTGTGAAAGGGTCGTTCGACCCCCAAAGGGGTCGCGACCCACAAGTTGAGAACCGCTGCTTTAGTATCTTTGTTCCATGCCGCATAAAATTACTAGATCACTGCCAGGCAGACCAACATGGATTTATCGGTTAAAGACACTGGTAGTTCATAAAAATTGGGCTTTTGAAGAAGGAAAGCATCAAGAACTAAAAAGATAGTTTGCTATCAGGAGCAGCTTACCTCTTCATCTTCCCCTTTGGCAATGTAGGAAGTAAAGCCACCATATTCAGGCTCCCAGCCTTACAAGGGGAAACAAACAGCGGTCAGAAAGCTCTCACTGCAAGTATCACATGTGCTGCTTAGACCACTGATCCCATGCTGCGTGAACGGGGGATTGGGAGTCTAGTAGTAACCAACCCTATGACTTAGGAGCCTGAATTTACCATTCAATCAACACTAAAGAACTGAACACTAGAACTAAGTGTAAAATTAAAGGACAATTACATAAAAGCTGTAGATCAGGGAGGGGGGCATTCTTGGAGGGCAAGTATGTATGTTCAGTCCATCTCCCACACCCTGGTCACAGGTACAAATCCTACTTTGAGTTGGGAAGCTGAAATTCACGACCCTTAATGCTCCTCCCAACACTGAGCTCCTGTGTTCTGAGATCCTGGACAAAGCACATACTTCTGAACTGGTTCAGTTGGAGAGGGGCATGCAGGAGAGACTGTCCCCTAAAGGAAACAGTCACTGCTTCCCATCCTCCCTCCTACCTTCACAGCCACAGTAAAGAAGTAAGTCCAGAGCAAATTCAGTCTTGCTGTTGTCATGGATTAAAGTGTAGTGACCAGTCTGCCAACGCCTCAGTTCCCCCTGGCACGTGGGAACACTTGATTCTAAGAAAAAAGGAAAAGGTCAGAAAATCCTATATAATAAAAGCCTAATATGCAAATTGACTGAACAGCAGAACGACCAGTTGCTATGATAAGCACCAACACCAGGGGGCAGACGCTCAATGTAGGAGCTGCCCCCAGCCTGCAGGCCCCAGGCCAGCCAAGGTGGGTGCCAGTGGCCCCCCCCCCCCCCATCAACCTGCCAGTTGCCCCACAGATGGGCCCTGATTGCCAGCCAGGGCTAGGGACCCTACCTGTGCATGAACTTCGTGTACTGGGCCTCTAGTATGAAAATAACCTTGATACCACTGCTAGATTGCAAGGGAATGATAATAATTTGTTTTTCTAAACATTCTGAAATTGACGTTATTTTTTTTATATATATTTTAAAAAACAAAATTAAAATTGTCAGGTCTGGGTATCTTACTGAATTAACACTGCTTAAGTTGCCTCAGCAACTTCATAGCTTTTATTAAAAAAAGCTTTTTAGCTTTCCTTTAAGATGCTAAACTTGGTAAACAGTGACCTTTCTCATTTACCTCTGTACTCCCCCCTGGCTCTGGCCAGGGCCTTGTACACAGCAGATGCGCAATAACAGAATAAGCACCTTTTGGTTGCTAGTGTAAATTTTCTTCCAAGTTGCATGTTCCCATAAAAGCGAAATAAAAAAGGAAAAGAAGTGGAGAAATACTTTGGTTTCTCTAAATAGCTGTGGTGATCAAAGTGACAGTACGGCAGACTAAAGACCCTGAGTTATGTTGTGTGTGGTTAGCACCTCACACTGCTGGTCTCATTTCCACGGTATCCACCTCCCTCATCTTTGCTCTTCTGACTGCACAGGGCCCTTCTCAAGACACCAGAGTGGAAGCAGGGCAGGTAAACTGACCAGAGGAGCTGGGGAACAGACTTTCTGATTGGATTTCATAGGTGCCATAACATTTAAGCTGAATTTGTAGCTGCTCAGTTAATGCGGCCAAAATTCCCACAGAAGTGTTACCTCTTAAATGTCTTGTATTTTTCTATCCTTACTTTTAATAATTCCTTCTCTCTATTAATCCAATTCCAACAAGTTTTTCGTAGTTTGTTATTGGTCATTAGCAGAAATAAGCCGCTCACCTTCCTCTCCTTTATGTTCTTGTGTTGGAGAGTAATTTTAGGCAAAGCCAGTCATATCTCTCCCCACCACTTGTACTAATAAGATATACCAGCCGTTCCTCCCATCTGGGATGCTCTTCCTGCAGATTCTTCCTACCATTGAGATCTGACCTTAGCCGAGAGCTCCCGACAGGCTTTCCCAGGTTGCCCATTCACCTAAGAGGCCACTCTGCCACTCCACAGCACATAACCTTATTGAAATGATCTGTATAACATGTGTCATTATTTGACGTTTTAGTTGTTGGCGTATACAATTAATCTATCCTCACCTCTTATTTTTTTTAAATATACTTTCATTGATTTCAGAGAGGAAGGGAGAGATAGAAACATCGATGATGAGAGAGAACATCTATCGGCTGCCTCCAGCATGCCCCCCCACTGGGGATGGAGCCCACAGCCTGGGCATGTGTCCTGACCAGGAATCGAACCGCATGACCTCCTGGTTCACAGGTTGGCTGGGCTGTCCTCTCCTTTTAGAATGTAAGCTTCAAGGACAGCAAGGACCTTGTCTGTGTTTTTTTCTCCAATTCCCAAAACAGGACCTAACAAACAGTAGATACTCAAGAAATATTTGTTGAATGAATGACTGAATGGTGAGTGCTGACTGGAAGACCAGGACAAGTCATGACAACAGCTTACCTTCCTTGGCTTCGTTTTCCTCTGGCTCTGGGTCTGCCTGTTCATCGCTCTGCTGGCTGTTGTTGCTGGCAGCTGCCAGATTATTCTCTGGCTCCGAGGAGCTATAGCTCGTCCCTTCTTCAGTGCTCTCAGAACCAGCGGCTGCTTCTCCCTCTTTTGTGCCCTCTGTCTCCTCTTCTTCGGAAGGGGCCAAGAAATGAAGTTTGAGGCCTGTGAAGTTGGACAGCAGCAAGAACAGTGCCTCGGAGCGAAATAAGGTCATGCAGTCCTGGAGAATGTCGGGAAGCGTGCTCTCCTCGGCTTTCTCATAAAACCTGGAAAGCAGCAATGGCAGTTTTCAGCAAAGCCACAGATGTAAAATTACTCACGGAATAAAAGCTGACTGTTAGCTTTGTGCCTCTCCCCCTCATTCTTGGCATAGTTTACTAAAGCACACATGACAACAGTGAGCTTTTGCTCGCGCCTGCTACTGGATGTCCCTGGGAACCAGATATCGTTCGGGAAGTGAGCCTTACAGACAGGAAGGTGCCACATACAGAAGCAAATGTCTTGGATGATGGGTTCTACCTTTTGTTAGGGGGCCCTTGGCTGTTCCATTTCACACCTCCTTTCTCCAAAGCCTCACAGACCGCTGCAAATTTCTCGGGCTGGAAAATGAGCAAATAAAGCAGCAGTCAGCAAATCTCCCCATGACCCCACCCTGGTCTTGCTGGTGTCGAAGCTCTGCAGAATCATCTGGCTGATTCTTAAAGGGGTCAGCTGACTCTCACCCCTTTCACACAACATTCCCGTCCTGATATGGTGAAGCCAGAGGAAAGATGGGATAAATCGTCAGCATGCTTTAGCCAAGAGACCCAAGTGTCCATTTGGACCATTTCCCTAAATAACTGTTTATCTTATATCAGATTGCTCAACCTCTCAAACCCCTTCATTTATAAAATGAGGATCATAAGACAGACTCCGTAATTCATAAGATGTGAGGGGGAAAAATTAAAGCACAACAGTCAGTGTCATTACAATGACAATCTGTAAGCAATGTGGATTCTCTAGGCCTCAGCTCATTTCTTTCATTTAATCAACGCTCTAAACTTAAAACGTTAAGTTCAGTACAAGTAGGTTAACCGACTGAAATATTTTCCATAGGAGCCATGTACCTGCTTAATGCAGTTTTCTAAGGAGTGTTCTGAAAATAGCAGGCCTATCACCAAACTTGGCAAAGGATTCCAAAGCATGCTTTAGTTAAGCTGAGTGACATAGGGTTTAAAGAAGTTTATTTTCTACAATACTTCTAAAATTCCTTAATACGCTACTGTAAGCTATAAAATTCAGAGAGAGAGAGAGAGAGAGAGAGGGAGAATATGTGCTGTCTCAACCTTTTCCTCATGGAGGAACCACTCTTGAGACTGTGACGCCATGGGACTCAGGGTCAACTGTGAAGCAGCACAGCAGTGACATGACCCCGCCTGGCCCTCACAGCCCTTCAAGACGGACAAGGCAGGTTTAGAGCGCAGGGACTGAGTGATCTGGTCAGGCGAGTAAATCACAGAGCCAGGACATGAATATAAGGTCTCTGACTTCTGCTCTAGCTCCCTTCCCACTATAAAGTGCTGCTTCATCACTGTCAAACATTCATCAATAGGTGCTGATCAATTAGCAAGCTGTCTCACTAAAAGTCCTAGTATGCACCATATTAATCAAGTGAACAGGAAGGGAATGACTCATAACTCCAGTGTAGAAGCTTCTCTACCTCTCCCTCTCTCCCCCTCTCTGTGTATCATTAAGATGCTAGAGAAATGGGGAATACCCAAGGGACTCTTAACCCACTAAGCACACAACTGATACCAACGTTAGCTAGTAACATCATTTCTATGTTTTATCTGAAGTAGAGGATGACATAAACATTCTAACCAGGCACAAAACAAAAACAAAAACTCTTGGCGATGACTATTCACCCACCCAAGAAGCAAGACTGCATGCCAAGCAAGACATACCGGACAGGACATGCGGACCCACCTTAAGGAACTCCTTCAGGAGAATTTCAGACTGTTGTTCAAACTCTTCTTGAATTTGAATTTGGTAATCCATGTCCAGATAAGTAGGGTTGATCCACTCATATAAAATTTCATGCTTACAAAGAAGCAGCAGATGCAAAAGGTGAGTTAATTCCTATTGCTTTTGTTCTCACATCATTTCACAGTAGTAAAATAATACATGCAAATACTCAATTTATAATTGTCTCCTTTTTAAATATCAAGTGCTGGGAAAGTGCCTGAGAAGGACACCAGCCAAGTTTATCTAAGGGAAGTGGAAGGGCAAGCTCAAAGCCTGGTTTCATTATCAGGAATAGCCATTTTCGAAACCACAAAAACACCTGGTCTGCTACAGCCGCTAAGATAAGAATCCAGCAGCAGGCACTTATCCTTACATCTCGCGGGATATGAGGGCTCCGGGGTATGGGAGGTTCAAAGTAGGTGGAAGGCCTGGTCAGGGAAGGACCATGAAACCAGCCGCTTATAGATAGACGTGACTTTTCTTCAGACAGGACTTCAGACACCTGAAAGGACAAAACCAACGGCACATCAACCCAAAGAATGAGGGAGGTTACCAGCCAAGGCACAGTAACTTCCAGATCCTTCACGCTAGGAGTGAAAACAATCTGGCCAGCTAGGTCTAATGGGAATGAGGGACTATAAGGCATGAGCCTTAGTGCTCTATACAGCTGTGGCTTACAAGCCTTACCTGGTGAAAGGACACTGGAGACACTTCAAAGAAAACCAGTGTGTTCCACGAAGGGATAAGGGACTTGACAATCTGCTTCGGCTGGAAGTGTTCTGCACCAGGAGAGAACATAGCCACAAACCAGTTAGCACTTACCACTTCCAGGCCACCCCGTTTCACCCTGACAACCTCAGATTTCTACGTGTCTCTAAATGTACCCTTGTAATCCCCAAATACCACCCTTCCCGCTATTTCGCTCATACTTGCTAGTTCTGCCAGGGGACACCTGTTCCTCCTTACACCACCCATCTATTATTGGATGAGGGCTGACAGCTTCCTGGAGGCAACCTCTGGGGTCAGTCATTACAATAAAAAATCCCGATGCCCAGCCGCGTAGCTCAGTGGTTGAGCGTCGACCTATGAACCAGGTCATGGTTCGATTCCTGGTCAGGGCACATGCCCAGGTTGTAGGCTTGATCCCTAGTGTGGGGCATGCAGGAGGCGGCCGATCAAAGATTCTCTCTCATCAGTGATGTTTCTATCTCTCTTTTCCTCTCCCTTCCTCTCTGAAATCAATAAAAATATATTTATTAAGCAAACGATAAAACAACCCGATTTCCTGTCAAATGGACTGGTCCAGGCAGATTCACAGGCAGCTGTACATGGTCTCTGCTACCCTTCCACGGTCTGTATTCAGATGCCAGGTCTGACTGCTCCTCATCTAAATTAACTCTAACTTATCTCTGGAGTGATCGTTATCTCAAGGACACCTCAGGGAGGCCCTTGTCATGGTGGCATCCACTCCTCCTGCAGCAGCCACTGTAATCATGGCTTCCATCTCCTTGGAGTGCAGACACTGTGCATAAGGATTGGGAAGTGGCCATGGGTGTTGAAGAGCATGCGTGTGTCTTACCATCAACGCTGTACAGATCCAGGGTGCCCCCCAAGCTCCTGTCCCAGGGAGGAACCAGGTAAAGGATGAAGGCGATCCGGCGCCCCTCCAGCTCATCATCGTGGCAGAGCAGGGCATCTGCAAGTTGAATGCACAGCTGCATGTCCCTGCGCAGACAAGGAGCAGCTGGGACCCGACCCTGCATTTGTCAAGCCTTCTTTTTTTTTTTTTTTTTTTAAGGCTGATGGGACAGAGGAGAGAGGGGACAGAGGCTGATGGCACAGAGAAAGGTGTGTACAGAGCGTGATGAAACAGAGGCTGATGGGACAGATCCTGACTGGCAGAGGAGAGAGGGGAAAGAGGCTGATGGGACTGAGGCTGATGGGACAGAGGAGGGAGGTAACAGAGGCTGATCTGTCAAGCCTTCTGACATTCATCTGTAATGTCAGCTCCTCCAGCCTTACAGTGACACTGACTTCTCTTTTATAATTATAGAAATAAAACTGCCAATTCTAAAAACACTGAAGAGCATGTATGTGGTTAGACATAGAATCACTAACAATATTTTTACATATTTCTTCCAATATTGTTTCTACATACGTGTTTGCTTTAGAAAAGAAATGGTATCTTTTGGTGGTTGTTTGTGGCCGGCTTTTTAAAAAATTACTACATGGCAAGTGTGTTTCCATATACGTTTCATCTCTTAATGGCTGCATAGTTACTTTACTCTATGGACTATGAATCACTCCCTCCCCCTTTAATCAATCTTCTATGTTACGTTGTTCCCATTTCTTATCTACTAATGTTTCAATGGAAATTATTGCACAGAGATCTTTTTGTACTTGTTCCCATTCATTTCTCGAGTTAAACTTCTAAAACCCATGAGGTGGGGTTGAGCAAGGTGGGAGCCGTGCAGGGTGGGAGAGGAAGGTATGCTACAGTGAATAAATATATTAAAGATAATGTAACCCAGGCTTCTCAGTTGAAGGGAATTATAAATATGAAAAAGGAGAACTCTAGAAGGAACCCTATGCAATGTATGATCCTGGACTGGATCCTTTTGCTGTAGAGCACCAAGTAATGGAACTGATTTTAATGGTTTATCACTATCATGTAGGAGAATGTCCTTGTAGGAATTACTGAAATTATTCACGGAGCATAACAACTGTAACCTACTTTCAAGTAAAACAGGGGAAAAAAGGATTTGTACTATGTGTGCCACTTTCCTGTTAAGTTTGAAATTACTGCAAAATAAAAAGAAAAAATAAAGTTAAATAATCATCGGATATGAGTCTTCAGGTGTATCACCAAGTTATCCTTAAAAAGTTGTTGCTGCCCTGACCAGTTTGGCACAGTGGATAGAGCGTCGGCCTGCGGACTGAAGGGTCCCAGGTTCGATTCCGGTCAAGGGCATGTACCTTAGTTGCAGACACATCCCCAGTCAGGGGTGTGCAGGAGGCAGCTGATCGATGTTTCTCTCTCATCGATGTTTCTAACTCTCTATCCCTCCCCCTTCCTCTCTGTAAAAAAATCAATAAAATATATTAAAAAAAAAAAAAAAAAGTTGTTGCTAGGTTAAACTTCCCAGACAGGAGTTAAATCCAAAACAACAACAAAAAACACACTTTTCCTTCTAGGCAAAATACCAAAACATGTTTTCCAAAAGACATGTAGATGCTCAGAATGGGAACTGGGAGGATGCACCCCAAAATGGTGACAATGGATACCTCTGAACAGTTTGGGGGGCGGGGGTTTGACAAAGAGCAGGTGAAGGGGATTATCACGGTTTACGCTGTGTATTTCTATATTGTTTGAATTTTTTTCCTTAAAGAGTATATTCACTTATTACCTTCAAACTTAAAAAGAAAAACTGACGTTGAGGGAGGCATTTGTCCTTAAGCAGTCTAAGAGGAGAGTTTACAACATCACCTCTGAATTTCCCATATTGTTGGTATGTGGAAAGTTGATATGTGTGTTGTCAGCATTTTTCTGAAAATATGGTCAATAGATTTCATCATATTCCCAAAGAGAACCACTGCCTTATACCTTCCAATATGAAGGGCATTTCTGTATATGAGCCAGGTCAGATCTTCCTTATTAAGATCCTAATTATATACAGGGACACAGTCCAGGATTTTGATACACTGACACTATCTGTCTTTCTACCATTGTTTAGATAAGGCCTTTAAATCTTACAGACATCAGATCGTACCTGAGAATTCATATTTAGCACAGGACATGTCAATGGTTGATTCCAGGTCAATCTTGGAAATGTCAGAAAGCCAAGCCCGGAAATCTTCAAACAGAATTTTCCTAGAAATGCAAACAAGGTAACTTGTGATGTCACACTGTGGCCTCCATGTGGGTAAATGCCACGACTGTTTCTTCCTGGAGGTTGCTGTGTCTTCAAGAGATCTATTCCCCAGAGTCTCCTTCACTTTAAATTTGCATAGTTTAGGGCTAATGTTCCCAGAGCACGTCCTTAATTACTTGCTGAGGATCAATTTTTATAAGTAGAATCACACTACAAAAAGAGAAAGCCTAATTTGAAGGGCTTTGGTACACCTTTCAAAACCACTTCTAGGAAAGACTGCAGCAGAGTATAAAGGTATCTATATTTCTGTCAACATGGGAGTTTTTGTTTTTAATATCTGCCAACCTAATTTGTGAAGAATGGTAACTTCAGTGTTAATTTGTTTCCTCGGCTACTCACAAAGCTGAACGGTTTTATCACTGAGAACTTGGACCCCGGGATCAGAGAGACTCAGGCTTGTATCTTAGGTCCCTCGATTTTCACCCGGGTGGCCTTGAAGAAGTTACTTAATTTCCCACAGAGGAGGCTGTTTCCTCCTCTACAAAATAAGATAATAGTCCACAGAGATTTGAGACATAACCTTTTAAAGCATTTACTAGCCAGCCTGGCACACAGCAGGCACCCAACAAATATGATCACTTGCTTACCTTAAAGCACGGATGTGAGGCTCTTTTCTCTTCTTCAAGTCGTCAGACTTGATTGTGAAAAGAGAAAAAGAAGATTTCCTTCATATATGAGTCACAACATCAAGGCAAGGCCCCCCGCCCAAGGCAAACCCAATCTAAAACCTCAAGTGCAAAGGTACAGAATGATTATTCTGTAAATAAGTGTCTGAAGTGGAAGAACTAATGGGAAAGGTCATAAATACCTGCTGGAACTTATATAAATCATTATACTTTTCATGGAAGTCCAAGCTCAAAAGCTCCTTCTGAAGCCCTTCCAAGAAGTTCTGACTTGGGATGAAGTTTGGGATCACGCAATGAAGAAAGGGGTCCATGTCCATGATAATGGCTTCTGTTGGGAAGAAAGCATTACGGCTGATTTTTCTTTTGTATTTTTGACCCCTGAGTAGCATAGGACAGAGAATACAAAAGGGGATGGTCAGGAATTTTCAGGAATCTAATACCAAAAGTCTCAGATTTTGGGGATGATAAGCTGTTCCCTTTTTTTCTTTACCCACCCAACACTACTTTTTAATGATACTGTGCTTACAATAAGAGGCCTTAAAATGAGTATAGGTGATATTACTAAGGTAAAGTTCCTGCTCTTTGGGGGGCGGGAGAGTCCGTTTAATGTTTACTTGTTGAATTGAATATATTTTAAAGTATTAATTTATCCCCCCCACACACACATTTAAAATTAGAGTAGCAAATTAAAAATGAGAATAGCAATACTGGCTGGCAATTTTCCTCAACCCTTTTTCTTTTCCTAAGTTACTGTCTAAGGCAGTTAGAACATACATACTTTGTGGGTTTTTTTAAAAAAACAACAACAGTTCAGACATAACCCCTTCTAATTCACTTTTCCCACTGCCTCTGGTGGGTTAGATTACGTACCCATCTAACAATCACCCCTAGCCACCAAGCGCCAAGCACAGTGGTGCTTTGCATGCAGTATCTCATTTAATTTTCCCTACCACACGCTAAGGCAGGCACGATCACGGTCTCCATGCCACCGATGAGGACATTGAGAAATCCCTGCGTGTACAAACCTTGCACTTTAAACACTGAGCTATCATGTCTCTCTTTTCTAATTATGCGGGCATCCTGGTATAGTTAACAACAGAGTTGGCAGGAACCAGGCCCAGGATGCCAGCCAGCTTCTGGCTGCTGTTCTCCCAGCAGTGTAACACTTACCTAGGTACGAGGCCACCTAGGCAGCTGCCTACGGCTGGGGCTATCCCTTTCCCGGTGCATTCAGAGCCCCTGGGGCTCACCGATTCAAAGCACTTCACCAAAAACAAAAGTCACGCGAACTTTAGAAGGGAAAGCATGATGCATCGAGTGGAGTTCTTATGCTATAAGGCAGTGGTTCTCAACCTTCCTGATGCCGCGACCCTGTCATACAGTTCCTCACGTTGTGGTGACCCCCAACCATAACATTATTTTCGCTGCTACTTCATAACTGTAATTTTGCTACTGTTATGAATCGTCATGTAAATATCTGATATGCAGGATGTATTTTCATTGTTACAAATTGAACATAATTAAAGCATGGTGATGAATCACAAAAACAATATGTAATTATAGATGTGTTTGTTTTCTGATGGTCTTAGGCGACCCCTGTGAAAGGGGCGTTCGCCCCCCAAAGGGGTCGCGACCCACAGGTTGAGAACCGCTGCTGTAAGACGCTATATGACGCTCAGGTTGGAACCGTTCATGGTAGGTTCCTCCCTCCACAACACTTTACTTTCATAGGTCACGTGGTTTGATCTATCTATTATCTATCTTATCTATTCTTCTATCTATCATCTATCTATCTATCTATCTATCTATCTATCTATCTATCTATCTATCTACTATCTATCTATCATCTACCTACCTACCTACCTACCCACCTACCTATCTATCATCTAAAACCCTATACAAATCGACCGAACTGCAGAAGGACTGGTCGCTATGACGCGCACTGACCACCAGGGGGCAGACGCTCAAGGCAGGCGCTGCCCCCAGCCCGCAGGCCCCGGCCAAGGCAGGAGCGAGCGGGGTATAAACCACCGAGTAGCTCCGGCGCCGGCTGCTAGTCGCTCAGATGCTCTGGCTGTACTGTCATGGGACCACCGAGCATCTCCGTCAGAGGAAAACAGCACCTACGCCACCCAAATATGTGTCCCAATGTTTACTGGTCCTTCCTCGGAAACATTTATTGACACAGACACGCGTTAGCTTACTCGTCTCATTCAACATCTTTCCGAGGTACACACCATTTGGCTACCCCATTTTACACAGCAAGGAACTGAAATTTTAAAAAGTTGAACCCATTGATAACCAGTCGAGGGATTCCAGAATTCAAGTAGTCATCTTTGGTTCCAGAATCCAACTCAGAACGCTCCCGCCCGCCACTTCCCCAAACTCTCCGACCTACATGTCCGCCTCTTCTCGGGCTTCCAGATCCACACTGACCTCGCAATGAAAGCGGGGCAGCAGGCCAGGCAGGAGGGTCGGAGGCGCCAAAGTCACGCTCTCTCCAATGGCCTCTACCCTGGCGGCCCCGCTGCCCCGGGCTCGGCTCGAGCGCCAGGGCTTTCAGAGGTCCCAGACCCCGCGCGGTGGCTCCCCCATCACAGCACCCGGTTACCGTGACTGAACGGCGTCCTGCAGCTCCAGGCCTCAGCCACCTGCTTCTTCAAGACTTCCTCCGTGACCGCGTCCGAAAACTCCACCATCACCTCCTTCTTCCTCTTCTTCCCCACCCGGTCCGGGTTAGGGTCAGGGGGCCGTTTCCCATTCATCTCCTCAGAAGCTGCAGACCCACGCCACACACACCAAGCGGCTCAAGGAGACTACAATTCCCAGAATGCGCTCTTTCTCAGCGCCACCCAATAGGAAGCGCCGAAGCAAGAGAAGGCGGAACCCATACCTGATCTACCAATGGGAGCTCAAGATATTGCGACATCCCACCAGCCGCCGGTCCAGTGGTTGCTCGGCCTGGCTGGCTCCCGCCTCTCTACTTCCTGCCGCCCGAGGCTCTGGATGCACTTCCGGCGGGCGTCCGCCTCCTCTAGAGCTTTCACGTTAATGGCGGGCCGCGGCTGCTGAGTGGGCCGACAACCGCTGCCGCACCGGGGAAGTCTCCCTGCCTCTCCCCGCTTTCCGCTCGCCACCAGTCCTCGCCAGCATGTCCGTGGTGCCGCCCAATCGCTCGCAAACCGGCTGGCCGCGGGGGGTCAACCAGTTCGGCAACAAGTACATCCAGCAGACCAAGCCCCTCACCTTGGAGCGCACCATCAACCTGTAAGTACGGCCTGGCCAGCCCGAGCCGCCTTCCCCTCGGGAGTTCTCCGGCCGGCGCGCCCCGGCCCTCGCAGGCTCCGTGCCTCCCCGCCTCCCCACCACTCCTCTCCCGCTGGCCAGTGCGCGCCTTTACCCCCTGCAGGCCCCTTCCGCGTTCGCCAGCGCCAAGGGGGTTAGATCCTGTCCTACTTGAGAGGGTGTTTCTTCTTCCGGAGGAAGGCTGGTTCCCATGCGCCTGTATTCCTGGGAAGAACGCTAGTTTGCTTTGAATTCATCCTTTCCTCCACCTCCCCGCAGATAACCCGCAAAATATGGTGTCTATCTAACAGTTTTCGAGACCTAGCGCTAACGCAGTGGTTCTCAACCTTCTGGCCCTTTAAATACAGTCCCTCATGTGGTGACCCAACCATAAAATCATTTTCGTGGCTACTTCGTAACTGTCATGTTGCTACGGTTATGAATCGTCATGTACATATCTGATATGCAGGATGGTCTTAGGCGACCCCTGTGAAAGGGTCGTTCGACCGCCAGAGGGGTCGCGACCCACAGGTTGAGAACCACTGCTAACGCGTAGCGTTAGTTGTTTTTTTGTTTTTCTTTCTAATAAAACGGCTGTTTTGCATTCCAGCTCATGCACACACATTTCATTCGTGGGCTCGGGGCTCTCTGGCCGGCCCGGTGCATTCCCATAAGTCTTCTCTGCCGCAGCGAGAGCATCCAGCCGCTCGGGAGGGCGGGTGCGGGGACGGTTGGGCCTGAAGCCCCTGGAGGCGTCTATAATGCAACCCCCGGGAACCTGGGTTGTAGCTGCGTTTTGTCATCTGCACCTTTCCGCGTGAGCACTTCAAGCCATTGCCTTTCGAGGCCACTCTCGCTAGGAATCTCGCCGTGGCAGGTCCTTGGCCGTGCGCTGTGTCTCACTCAAGAAATTGCCCTGAGAGTTTGTGAGGCGCTGCGATGCTGGCCTGCATGGAGGTCATGGCCACTTAATCCTGGTCGGTGTTTAAAAGGTGCAAGGCTTTGCCCTGGGTGTGCGGCTCCTCAGTGGGTTGAGCATCCTCCATTGCACCAGAAGGTCTCCGGGTTGATTCCGGGTCAGGGCACAAGCCCGGGTTGAGGGCTCCATCCCCGGTGGCGGGGCAGCCTATTGATGTTTTTCTCTCTACCCCCTTCTCTCTCTAAAATCATAAAAACGTACTTTTAAAAAAAAAGGTGCGAGGATTTTTCTGATATTGGTGTGTTTTTTTAAAAATATATTTTACTGATTTTTTACAGAGAGGAGGGGAGAGGGATAGAGAGTTAGAAACATCGATGATTGAGAAGCATCGATCAGCTGCCTCCTGCACACCCCCTGCTGGAGATGTGCCTGCAACCAAGATACATGCCCTTGACTGGAATCGAACCTGGGACCCTTCAGTCCCCAGACTGCCCCCCTATCCAGTGAGCCAAACCAGCCAGGGCTGATACTGGTGTTTTGATAGACACCTTAGATGTTTTCTCTGCTTCATGTTCAAATCAATGAATTTCCCTCCCTCAAAAGCGAATTGAAATTGAAAAGATGGTTATTGTTTTATTTGGCAAAACAGATGCTTGCTTGGAAATGTAGATAATAAAACTTTGGGGCTTATGAAATCTGGAATTGGTAGATAATTGCGTCTATTCAAGTGAATAGCTGTTACATTAACATCATATATTTTCATTGCATAGCGCTGCTTTTAAGAACCCTCATAAGATTCCCATGTCGTGGGAAAGGCAAATGCTCCCCTTTTAAACACTGTGAAAGCACAGCCTGTAGTGGTGATTAGAACCAGGACTCAGTTTTCCCTTGGTTTGCCTTGATTATTGGATCAATTTGCACTAAGCCCTTACATAGAATTAACTTGGTGAAAATGTTTTAATCTTTGCTCCATTAAAGTTATGGGTTGATGGATTTACAGTTCTTTTCCTCTCCTATATAAATACAGTATTCAGAAATAATCGTGTTGTAATCAATTCATGTGTGAGTAAAGATGTAAGTTGAAGTCCTTTCCTTCCCTTGCCTCCCGTAATATATATTTTAATTGATTTCAGACAGGAAGAGAGAGGGATAGAAGCATCAATGATGAAAGATAATCATTGATCGACTGCCTCCGCATGCCCCCCACTGGGAATTGAGCCCACAACCCCAGGCATGTGCCCTGACCGGGAATCGAATCCTGACCTCCACTGAGCCATCATGGCTGGGCTCAAACTAACTTTTTAAGTTTTGGCAACCCCTTTCAAGAATTGCAGAGTGGATTAGTTACGTAGTTACTGACTTAATGTTGAGGCATTTTTATAGAATAGATAGATACCTTGGGGATGGACAATGTGGTCAAAGCATTCTGACTCAGAGGCTTAGAACCAGAGGCTTCTTACTGTAAATCTCATGATTGAGGGGTTACAAGGTGATATGTGTGATAAAAATGGTATTTTTAAGGAAAAATTTGATCTTTGCTAGGCAAGATGAAAACCGTCTTCAACAGTATGAGCTATATTTTGATAAAGAATATTCAGATTGGGTAGAAGATAATGCATGAAGAGAAGGGAAGAATAAGGATAATGAATGAAATAAATACAGAAGGCTAAAAGGTTTTAGAGGGGAAAGAAAAGTTCATGTAAAGAAAAGAGTCTGAGGGTACTTGACTGGGAGAAGTAGAAAAAACGGAAGAGATGATGGAAGTAGTAGCTCAACTTTTAGACAAAAGAGATTAGCCATTTAGGCTAAGAGGATTCATGCAATTTCTGATTACCTGTCAGAGGGGCCCAAAGCGACATTAGCTAGCTTGGCAATGCTAGGGTACTAGCCACAACCTAAAACCAGGGGATTACCAGATGTCCAGATAACTAAGCATTTAAGGGCCTTAAGGATAGTGGTATATATGCTTGATCTAATAGAAGCTCGAGCTTCAGAGTTCCAACATCTGGATTCCAGTCTCTGCTGTTTCATTAATTAGTTATGTAACTGGGCAAATCCTATGTCTCTGAGTACAGTATATATACACTATTTACTGTATACATGTTATATATATGTATGTATATGTGTATGGTTGGTATCTATGCTGGTAAATTATGGTCTCCAGTTCTCATGTGTAATGTTTGTCTTTGGATCACAGGTACCCTCTTACCAATTATACTTTTGGTACAAAAGAGCCCCTCTATGAGAAGGACAGCTCTGTTGCAGCCAGATTTCAACGCATGAGGGAGGAATTTGATAAAATTGGAATGAGGAGGACTGTAGAAGGGGTTCTGATTGTACATGAGCACCGACTACCCCATGTGCTACTGCTACAGCTGGGAACAACTTTCTTCAAACTGTAAGTGTTGTTGGAAATTAACAGCAAGACAGCTGGTTGCTGTTTTATGCAGCTTTGGAATATAGTATTCATTCAACAAACATGGCTGTTCATGGAGTCTTTAGAAAAAGAAAAATCGCAATTAATTTTTCTTCAGGGCAATGCTCACTTATTGCCTAACTAGAAATCCACATGTCTCTGTATATTGTTGCTATTAATGACAGAGCTTGATAGGAGCCCTGTTAAACAAATTGGTCCAAGTTCTGTTACAAGAAGTCATTGTAGCATCGCTAAGAACAATGGATATTATTTCTTAGGATGAATAGTGTTTCCTATTCTTGAAATGGCTTACATTTTTATGGATAAATTTTTAGTTTTACCATTTAAGCTTATAAATTTCTTGATATACATTTAGTTCACAACTATTTGACCAGATTGTACCAAAAGAGAGGTCTCAAATATTTAGGTTGGCGTTCTGGAAAAATGCCCCATTCTTCAGACTAAAAGAATGAGGTTCATTGCTCTGTGGCTGTTTATAGACTTCACTCTCGCTAAATAGCTTCCAGAGAAGAAAGATTGGGATGGACTGATGGTCAGCAATTATGCAATGTTTACATTATGCTACATATTTTGTTTGCTTAAAATTAGGGTTTGTGTACTGTTAGTCTGGTGAATTAACGTGAATTCAGCTTTTTATTTCTAGCATATTCTTCCCCTTCACTTTGATTGCCTCATCATGTGACACTGGAATATGTGTGCTGTTCAGTTACTTGATAGAAATAACTATTACTGTCTTCTTCCTATTATCCCAAAATTGTATTGAGTTGAAAGCTGAAATTCTTAACCTTTATGCAGACCTGGTGGTGAACTTAACCCAGGAGAAGACGAAGTTGAAGGACTAAAACGCTTAATGACAGAGGTATTTTTCTATTTAACCACTTGGACGGTTATATTATTGCCCTTGTTAATACCACCCACTTACTAGATAATTAGGCTTTTTATGTCTTGTGAAAGGATAAGTTTATTTTGATTACTTTTCAATAAATAAAACTTAAACCCCAGAGTGTTAGTATGTACAATGTTTATTTTCCAGGAGTTCAACTTATACTTACTTGTATTTTTTTCCTTGAAGTGTTTATGTAATAGTAATGATTAACAAAGGCCAATATTTATTGGGCACTTACTGTGCTATCCTAAGTGTTTTACATACAGTAACTTCTTTAGTTATCACAGCAGCCCTAGGAAGTAGGTATTATTATTAACTCCATTTTACTGATAAGAAAACTGGGGCACAGGGAGTTCAAGTAACTTGTTGATGTTAAACATCT